TTTAGCTATCTTTTTAATTTTATATGGTCCTCTTTTAGTTCTAGGTTTTTTATAATTTTTATTATTCATTTTAAAATATAGGACTTGATTGTATTCTTTTCTTATTTTGAAAGCTTTAGTTGCAATTATTGTTTTTAAGGGTATTTTAGGTAGTTTATATTGTTGAATAGTGGAATGGGGTATTTTGGAAAGGCTATTGGTTTATTTTGGGTATTTTCAATAATTTCCCCTTGTTTGAGTCCCATTTTTCACAAAAAAAAAAAGAATTTCCCAATAGTGATTTTCTTTAGAACGTGTGATTGAAAAGTATGAAAAAAATTAGATTTATGTACAAATTATTTTATTGAGAGGAAAAAAGAAGTTTTAGATAATGAGGTTTAAACCAAAAAATTTAGATTTACGTACAAATAAATTTTATTGATGGTCATTATTAAGAAAAATGATGTTTTGAATAGTAATTTTTTGGAAGAAAAAATTTAAATTTATATGCAAAGTATTTTATTGTATGAATATGTTTTTTTTAAAAAAAGATGAGAATTAAATAGTCCTATTTTAAAAGGCCAAATTCAAGTCAAGCTGATTTTTCTACCCTACCTCCAAACAAGATTTGTATACAAAAATGATGATTAGATTAGTTACACAAATAAAGAAGGGCTTTGCTATCTGTACATCAATGTGTACACAAGGGGTTACACCTCTCTCACATGGGGGTATGACCCACTTTAATAAAAAAATATTATTCAAATGGGTCTCACCTCTCATGTGAGGGGGTGTAATCCCTTGTGTACATCTTTTGATGTCCAAGTAGATAATTCCGATAAAGAAATATGAGCCATACTATATGGACATAGGTGGGTACATAGAAGTTGATATAATGTGAGTGGGGTGGAGCCCATGCTAGCCCCATCATGACCCATCCCACTCACATTAGGTCAATCCCTATGTACACGCATAGATTAATTGAAGAAGTATTTTCTTAATGAGACTTGCTATATTTACAGTCTTTTTACACAGTAAGTTTGACAGCCCTCTCACATGAGGGTGGGGCCCACATCTTAGGTCACACCCCTATGTGAGAGGGCTGTCAAACTTACTGTGTAAAAAGACTGTACATTTAGCATTTTTCTATCTTAATAGGATTGCACTAGTGGTACATAATTTTTGATCATAATAGTTCACGTAATACTTACATGGGGTGGGATCCACGTTTTTGTGGACTCCACCGCTGTGAGAGTTATGTGAATCTCTATGAATAAAAATTATGTACCCATAGCATCACTTTTCTTAATAAACAAGGGTTTTGCTATTTGTACCCTGCTCACTAGGGGGCCCACTTTATGTGCTCGCCCAATAAACAAATACATTTATTCACCATAACTAACCTAACATCTACAAGTTTATATGTATGTATCATATATTATCGATAAAAACTAATTTATTAAATGATATTTTCCCGGAGCAATTTGTGTGCTGCAATCGAAATTAAAAGTATGATATTAGTCTAACTCAAAGTATCTCCCAGATTTGGAGAAATACGACTGGATTGTGGTAGATCTATCTAGGTATGATTTTTTTTTTTTCATTTTTCTTCGCTTTTTATTGTTTCTGTTTCTACCCACTTTTTTGGAATTTGGACATCTGTTAAAGAACATGAATTTTGAATGGTTCTGCAGAATTTTCTTGTCGGGAAAAGCAGAAATGCTCAATTTGTAGCTTTGTCACCCTAATTTGATGAATTTAATTATGCTTAATTTTGTTTTTTGAGGAGTACATATGTTCTTATCTTACAATTGATGTTCCCCCTTAATGTTTTTGTAATTTCGAGTCTACTTACATTTATGTGGCTTTCCAGAAACTTTGGACCCGTACAATAATTTTGTCTTTAAGTTAAAAGGTTTTTTGTGGTTCTGATGATCTAAATGTGCACTATTTAGAGATGTCAGTGTTGTTATTTTCATTTGGATGAGTGCAATTTATGATCATTTCCATCTCCTTTTGATATTTTTTTATGAGCAATATGTAGTCTTAATGCACTATTACATTATACCATCCCACACATAATATTACCTGTCTATACTATTTTGTGAATTGTTTCTAGCCAACAATGTAAAAAATAGTTATGGAGAGTGTCCTCCTAAATGTGCACTTTGTCAATCATGGCTTTGTATCAGCATATTTATGTGGAAAGCATGTACCCTTCGGTTGTTTTGCATGATTTGTTGCATTCCTGTGGTAGTATATTTTTAATATTTGTAATTTTTATTTCTCGCCATAGATTAATGAATTATGTTCAAACCGGAAGGCGTTCCCGGTTGAAGCTTGGTTCATAGCATTCCAGTGGTTTGCACTCAGTCGATAGACTGTGGTGCCACCACCATGGATCCTAGCAATGGAGGTAATAACGCCAACAACAATCCTAGTCTGGCTTCTAAGCAGCAGCGGCTTCGCTGGACACATGAGCTTCATGAACGTTTTGTTGATGCTGTAGCGCAGCTCGGTGGGCCGGATAGTAAGTCGTTTTCACTTTCAATTTCCCTCTGCCCTTGCAACGCACTACCGCCCCTTGGAAAATAAAATTCATGGATTATACACTTATAGCAAATGATAATATATATATATATATATAAGTAACAAAAAAACACCGTAGGACTGAATAATGACACAGAAAAAGAAAGAACAGAGTAACAGTGTTATTTTCGGAGATATTTTTAAAGAGGTTTTACTTTATTCAAAGTTGCTGTCATGGTGTCAAAAGAGGTTTTCTTTGATCACTATTCCCGAAAGGGGAAACATGGAAGAATGCTTATTCTCTCTACTTTGAGTATATGCACAAATTGTAGGATTTCTATTTCCTTTGCCTTCATTTTCTAGTCAGAATATCCACACAGATCTTACAGGGTCTTTTTGGTGATAAACTTATTTCATTTTAGGAATGGTACCTTACTTGACTTATCCAAAATATGTAGGCTAATTTTTGCAAACTCCTATTGCTAAATGGATGAATCTCATTAGAAAATGCAATTTGCACAAAGTCCACGAACCACAGAAAATAAAAATGCACACGATTAGATGTGCTCTTTGCATGATATCACTTGTCACTTGCTTATGGTCAATTTTATCCATGTTAAGTTCTTCTACTATGGTTAAATGTTCGTGAAGACTTCGGCCACCCAAAATGTAGGTTGATCCGCTCACCATGACTACTTAAGTAAGATATTATGGCTGAAGGAAAATTATGCTGGGTTAATGTTCTTAATTGCTGGTGATGAATTATACTGCACAAAATGGTGTCGAATTGGATTCAACAATTAAATTTCTAGAGAAAGGCTTTTCTCATAAAGGGTGGTGGGTGCATGATTTGTTCTCTCATGGCTTAGTAGACTTTTCAAACACTACTAGTATAGATGGAATCTAAAGATAAACCAAAGAAAAATAAGCAAAAGTTTGTTTCGCCTAAATCTAATCCTCCATCCCATGTCCATGTCACATTACAACGTATTCGCTAAACATTAAATTAGATGTAATCAAAAGTCAATGGCATAAAGGCTACATGACACGAATTCTCCACCTCATACAAACTTCGGTGTCCGACGTATGTCAGTCTAACACCAACACTTCTCGGACATTCCACAAAATGTTTTACACCTACTGCATGCTTTTTTTTCTCTGATACAAGTAATTTATAGTTAACTTAAAGTTATTTTGATATAATAACTAGTGTTTGTACGATTTAAAAGATTTCACCAATTAAAATCAAATCTAAATTAAGTATTGATTTTATTAAATTAAGAAAATAAAGATATGATATATAAATGTACAATTTCAAATAATTTAACACGATGTGTCCGTGTCCTTATTTATTGAAAATCCCGTCTTATCTGTATCGCTTGTTTGTGCTTCTTTGTGGGAAATACATAATCTTCGTATTATCTGCATTTAGTGATAGATAACTTTTTAGAAGACTTAGCTTACAACAGACATTCTGGAGTATCATGTTCGCAGATTTCTGTAGTGGGAAACTTCTAGACCACTCTTCATTCACTCATTGACATAGATTATATCTGAATTTCTATTTCCCTATTTCAGGAGCTACTCCAAAAGGTGTTCTTAGAGTTATGGGCGTTCGATGGTTAACTATTTACCATGTAAAAAGCCATTTACAGGTATATTTGCTATGATATTCCTTTCAAAATGTCTTTTCCTGTGTTTGTTGTCTGTGCTTGGTGGCTTATGCTGCTTTTTTATTTAAACAGAAATATCGACTTGCCAAGTATCTTCCAGATTCTTCATCTGATGGTAGGTTAACATATTGCATTTTGTTGAAGATATGGAAAGAATAATCTCTATGAATTTTAGAGTTATTTATAGCCCTATAAATATGGTCTTTTACTTTGTAATAGAAACAAGTTTATTATATACAATTTATAATATTCTTCACATGGTATCAGAACAGTTTCGATCCTAAACAACTTAACTTTGAATTTCGTTTCTGGCGAGCGGCCTAGAGCCGCTCATCCGGCTACCAATGTTGTTTTTCCTTTTTTTTTATTATTATTTTCTTTTCAGATGTATCCCTTTGGTTTAGTATATGTCCAATTTATCTGGAATTTGGTCCCGTTCATTTGGAATTTGGTTTAGTATATATCCAGTTCATTTAGAATTTGATTTGGTGTTGGTTCGGTGTATCCAAAATTTGAAATTTGCATCCAGTTTATTTGGTATTTGTCGAGTTGGAATTTGAAATTTGCATCCATTTGGTTTAGCAGTGGATGCGTTGGTTACTTGCAGATATGGGTGTTCCTTCTTCCTCTCCAACCCATATTGAGATTGACTATCATCTGATTTCTCATTCAAATCTTGGTGATAGTTTGGTTAGATTGGTGGATGATGATTTTTCATTATCATCAACTTTGAGTTATCTGTTCGGTTTGGTTGACATATAAGCAATTTTGAAGATTTGATTGGATCGATTTTTCTTTCAAATTCAATTTGATTGCTGCTACACCATTTTGAGTTTGAGGGAGTGTGTTGAAAATATAGAAAAAATAATCTTTATGATATTTTTCCAATAGTGTAGGATTATTTTTTTTAATAGTTGATTGTATAATTATTATGCAATCTTTCATTTTAGAGTTATTTATAGCCCTATAAATAGGGTCTTTTACTTTGTAATAGAAACAAGTTTATTATATACAATTTATAATATT